ATTTAACAGTGCCTTGATTCATTGTGTCTTTGATGGGAGAATTCAGACATGTAGCACAACAATGTTTAGCTTCCTGCACAAATAAATTGCAAAGAACATTATCTGTAAAGAAATTAGTAGTTGTGTTTGCATAACTCTTCAGTTAGAAAGACTTGAAAGAAATAGCAATGAAAAACAATGGGTGAAAATTGTTTGAGTCTTGATTCAAACAAAACAACTTAAATGTGTGACTGTGTACACATACTCCTCAGCTTACGATAGGGTTATGTCCTCATAAGTCCACTGTAAGTTGGAAATCGCAAATGGAAAATGCATTGGATATAGCTAAGCAGTTGAACGTCACAGTCTAGCAACACAGCACACTGCACAGTGTTGGTTGTTCACCCTGGTGATCATGGGGCTGCCTGGGAGCTGCTAATCCCCAGTTCCCAGCATCAGGAGAGAGAAGACTGTACCAAAACCACTAATCTAGGAACAGATCACAATTCAAAGTAGGGTTTGCACTGTACGCATATCGCTATGGCAAGAGTGTAAAGTTGAAATAGAGATCGAACCGTGGTTAGTTGGGGACCATTAATTCATACATATCTTCCTATATGTATCCTACGGAGCAAATGGGGAAACTCATTTGGGCAAGCAGGAAATAGAGCACAGTACTGCCCATTCACACAGACTTTCCATTTGCTTAGCTTTATTTCCTAGTTGTATCCTCTTGCTGACAGCAACAGCAGGCAGAAAGCTGCAGAGGAAGCAATTAAAATTCAGAGAAATGGAATTGTTTCCAGTAGTGGCAAAGCTGGACTGGGGACCCACACCTGTCCTTTAGGAGGCCACTGAGTCAGGAAGGCATGGACCTGGGTGACCATCCTGGCCAGGAGTCAGGGGCCATGCTGGGAGTGATTTGGAACTGTGGCCACTTACATCAGTGGCATCAAATTAGGAAAAAGTTTGAAAACCAAAGAGGAAAGTTTAGATTATGGTCAAGGACCAAAGATCATTTTTCTTTCCATACAGCCACTCATCCCCTGACACAAATAAACATTAAACATTCTTGTTTCTCCTTCAGGCAATGCAAACGTTCAGCTGTCTTGCTTTTAAAATTCAGAACTGAGATCATACAATTTTATTCATTAACACAATAATCCATTTCAATTATGTATTTTAGCCAAAGAAGATGGTTAGAGGTAGCAGGGAAAATGAAGGCAGGGGAGAGAGGCAAAAAGGAAGCTTATCGGGAGAGATATAAAAATATTTTGAGAAGAAGATTAGTGATTATAAACTGTCCTCATTTCATTATTCCTATTCACATGTGCCCCAGGCTTCAAAATGGATTTTTGCCTATTATGTCTGCCTTTTGAAAATCTGAACAGCTGACTACACTGTTAGTTCTCAGGAGTCCAGACTCCCAGTGTGAAAGAAGAAAGTGTGTCTGCGTGGCCGGCCAGAGGCAGAGCACAGTGCCTTAAATGAGAGCTGCAAGGAGCCAAGAGCAACTTCTGTATAATGCAATGTTGACCAGAATCCATCTCCCAAAAGACAATGCCCTGGGTGACTTATCCATTAGGGGTCTGGGGGTGGGCAGGGGCCCTGGTTTCCAGACTTCTTATTCAGTGGCCTGGCACCATGAGATTTTATTGGGTCTTCCATAGAGAACCCACAATTTTATTAAGTGCCGGGGCTTCCTTGACTTCTTAGTACTAAATTCTAGAAGAGGAATAATCATTCCATGTCCTGTCTGCTTTTTCAGCCCTAATTTATATCATTGTAAAATGTCCCCCCTGTATTAGAACCATGCATGGGCAATAAGTCACTAACCAAATGGATGGTGAGATTGAGCAATGGTATCTCCAGGAGCCATCATGAGCTGCAGACATTGTCTCATTCCCAATTGGAGGACAGAGGTGCTTCTTCTGGTGACACTGACATAATGGAAGTGAGACACATATTTTCTAATGCCTTGCAGCTTTTATGCTTTCTTACCTTGCTTAGGATGGAGAAAAATGGGGAGCAGAGACACACAGCTTGCTTGACAGAATACAGTCCTCAATGGTGGTCATACAGCTTACAACGTCCTTTTGAGTCAAGAAGAGAGGTGGGGTGGATTCTCCTACTCAATTTCTGGTGAAAGCAAAGCAAAGCAGCCAAGTGATTACTCAAAAGCGTCAAAGAAAGTTAGTGCCGGTGTTGAAGCTGTTTTACATTCAAAATGAATGGACCTGCGTAGTGGAAAAGGCAAGAACTCTTTCCAGGCATCTAACAGGAATGTATCGATTTATTACTTTGTGATGATTACTAGGAAAAATTCTAGCCTCTGGGGCACAGAGACGAAGAAGAAAGATGCACCTCTCGGGTGAGTCAGAGAAGTAAACAAAGGGTTCCAAGGCTCGTCCTTCAAGTGTTTTGTTCCAGATTTCCCAGTCTCTTAGCTGAAGGTAAGGATGGGGGAAAAACAAGCAGTTAAGAGAGAATTGGGAGCAGATGCCTGGGCCAGCACCAAGGGCAGACTTGGCATTAGGAGATGTGCCCAGGACGAGGCCAGCTTCCTGGTAGAGTAACTAAAACATTAGCCCAGGATAGGAAGATGGAACTACCCACTGATGGAACTGCTTGGGAGATGGATGTGAATAGAACCGCTGGGAGTGTTGGAGCACAGCTCTAACCAAGACACCGAAGCACCTCAAGACTGAAGCTGAAACCAGATGACCTACATTGCAGCCTGGCCGTGATCATGCAAGGACATGGGAAGAGGGTGGGCATGCCTATGTTTGTCCCTGCCATGACCGGGCAGAGTGTGCCCTGAGCCCTTCCTGGGAGCCATTGGAGCCTGCATTCTGATCCATCTCAGGAGTGCTTCCTGTGTTGAAACTGAGAAGAGCATGTGGCTCTCCCACCCTTTCCAGACCCTGACACCTTCCCCCGGTGTCTTTGCCCTGATTCCTCTCGCCAAGTGACCGTGGTTTCTCCCACGCCTTGTCATAATGAAAGAGGATGTACTGACTCATCAATAGGATATGACCAGCCACTACTTAGCAGAGGTAGATTTGACTGTAAAATGACAAATGAGACTCTGGTTAATATATTTTCTGGTGAATCTAATAGGCATGAGTCAGATAAGCCAGCAGGGAATGAATAAAAATCCTGCTGCAAGGTCTCCAAGGCTCAAGACCGGAAACAGAACTTTTGAAGGTGGTTGTAATGTTCTTGACCGCCCCAGTCCCCTCCCTGGCGCACTCCTTAGCATGTAGCTAAGTGCTCAGTAAGTGTCACTGCTATTATCACAAAAAGCATTCCCATCTGTCTGCTTGTTAATTTACGTTTATGGCCAAGTGAATTTTAAATAGAGAAATGTCTGTGCATTTTTAATCCAGGTGTCCGTACTCCTGCTAAGTGGCGTGGTCCTTGAAGGCGGCGACCTCACCTTATGAAGCCCGGCACATGCAGGAGCTCTGGGGCCATTCACTGCTGGCGAACAGCCTACTGCTACTTAGCAGTTGCTGAAAAGTATGCTCAGATTGTGACAGTGGAGACCGAGCTGTCTGCCGCTCTTGTTTCTCCTTCCTTTGACATTTTCCTGCTTCTGTTTTGTCCTTTTGTCTTTCTGTCTGACCTCCAACTAGGCAGTTCAGATTAAACTGTTTCCTTCTGTAAGGCATGTCCCTGGAGGAGCACCCACACTATACATTTACATTTTCCCTTTCACAGCCTACATGCTAGTGCCCTATACTTCAATGGAGGGGGTGGAGAGAGACAGCAAGGTAGAAGGCCGTAGGAACATCCTATCTGTTAGCCTTCAGGAAAGTTGCCGGGAATCTCAGGCAAAGTACAGTAAGTCCCAGACTTACCAGCAAGTCCTATCTGGGGAGACTGTTCAGAAATTGGATTTGTTCGTAAGTCCAACAGAGTGAGTCTTATACAGCTTTGACCCCAAAGCACCAAACTTACACACAAAAATACAGTCAGTCCCCAACTAACTATACAGTAGTACTGCACTGCACAGCAAGCACGCAGCAGTACAACTATGACAGTGTCCGGCACGCATGTGAGCTACTGCTACAATTTGTTTGCATCTACAAATATTCCTAATATGAGGCCAGTGTTTGTATCTGTGAAAGTTTGCAACTTGAATGTTCCTAAGCTGGGGACTTATTATAATAAGTTCCTTTGTTTTTTGGTCTTTTTGAGACAGGGTCTTGCTATGCAGTTCAGACTGTGAGCTCACTTTGTAGCCCAGGCTGGTCTCGGACTCGCAATGACCCTCCTGCCTCTGCCTCCTGAGTGCTAGGATTGCAAGAATAAGTTCCATCTTTGTATGGGGAGGGGATTGTCTTGACTTGGGAAGGTTTCACGGCCACCATCTTCTCTACTCCTAGAACGAACCACAACCCAGCCTAGAAAAATTGGGAAAGTGTGATTGGTGAATAAGCCCAGGCTTTGCATGCTAAGATCTGGTCTTGGGACTCCACCTAATTGCTTACAGGGTGTGTCCTCCTGGGGCTGGCTCCTGTCTACAGTAAGGGACATTTTAATGCCTTCTATCCCCGCTGCTCAGAGATGTGTGGATAAAGTAAGCCGTCCTATGTCCTACCTGTGAGCATGAGCATGCTTGTGAGTGTGTGGTGGGGTAGGGATTATGGCTCTTTTGCTCTCCTCTGCATCCTTATTGCTGCCTTGAATGAATGAGTAGTGGAAGTGGATTAACTACATCAACGATCCCAAGCTTTAGCGTGCACTGGGATCACCTGAGAAGCTTTTAAAACACAGATTGTCAAGTCTGCAACCTGGAGTTTCGGTCTCAGCCTGAGCTGGAACCTGAGAATCTGCCTCTCTAGCAGTGCCTTTGCAAAGCCGCTGCTGCGGCCCAGGGCTGCAGCACAAGAAAGGGCCAGCAGATGGCGCCAACATCGAACAGAGACCTCCCCTGGGAGCGGTTGGAACTGGGTCAGCTCCCGGCTCAACCGACACAAAACACAGGTTTTCCCAACAGTGGAGGTGGGGTGGGTTGGGGTGGGGTGGGCAGCTGCGGCCCCGGCCGGCTGCTGATCCGAGCGGAGAGCAGGAGAGAGTGAGGAGGCAGCTGGTGCGGGGGAGGAGCCGGACTCTTCCACCACCCAAGTCTCCTCTCGCTGCCGGCTGCCCTGGGGGAGGCGCCTTCCCTCTCTGCCGCAGGCTGCTTCTGGGTGCCAGCGCCACAGCGAAGTATAAATTCCCTCCCCTTGAAAGATATTCCCGGAGCTTCCTTTTCGATGATCTCAGCTTGGGGGACTGAACTCTTACGAGTAAGAAAATATTTTCTGGAGTTTTATAAAAAATACTGTATGCGGTTGACAAAACCCTCCCATTCTTCCCTCGCCTTTGGCCACTGCTCACCAGCTCACCTGCCGGGGGTCCCTACCACCACCGTCCAGCAGGCGGCGTCGTGAGAAGAAGGGGGCCGGCTGAGCCGGCGCCCGAACTTCAAGCTTCTCCAAGCCCTGCCCAGTTTAACGAGCTGCTAGGAGGAAATGAGGCGGCACAGGGGAAAGTGCAGACATCCAGGGAGTAGTCGGTAGCCACAGGTGGCTGCTGGACACTTTAAATGCGGTGAGGGTGACTGAAGAAATGAAATTTCGCCCTCCACGATGGTGCGCATGTGTAATCCCAGCGCTCCGGGAGGCCGACGCAGGAGCATTGAAAACTGGAGCTCGGCTTGGGCAAATTAATGACTTACTGAGACCCAGTCCAAAAATAAAACATAATGAAGGGCTCAGTGCAAATCCCCAGCGTGCTCTTGTGTGCACACATACAGTGAATTTTAAACTTTAATTTTAATTAAATTTAAATTCATGTATTGGACAGCACAGGTTCAGCAGAACTCCCGGGTGGATTGCTTTTGCGTTAAGAAAACACGTCCCTGAGACCTGAAAGCGTGTCTGGGAGGCGCTAAGAGGTAAACTGCTCTGCCTAAGACTCTGCCGGAAGTGTAGGGTGTGAGGCAGTCCGACAAGAGAAGAAAAGGAGAGAGGTTGAAGAGGAAAGGGTCAGGTGGTGACCGTGCAAATGCAAAGAATAGTAAAACCCCTCTGGAGGCAGGAACGGCGCCAGGGCATTGAAGACCCGGAACACCTAAGTTCGTTCCTGAGCCGCACAGCAGCACCGCTGCTCCCTGTTGCCCCGTCTCTCCAGCAGTGCCTTCTCAGCACAGGGTCTGGGGGCGGCAGCAGTTAGGAGAAGGGAGATGAGCTGTGGGGTGATTCCTTCAGGGGAGGTGGCAGCATTCTCAGGAGAGAAACAGAGGAGAAACAAAATCTCAGCACAAGCAGGGGCTGGGGCTGGGCGATTCTGCAGGGACAGTGCCGGGTTGTTGGCAAGGAGGGATGTTTGGGGACCCGATTTTAAGTAAATCTTCATTTTGTCTTTTTTTGAGCCGGGGTTTCTCTGTAGTTCAGGCTGGCCTTCAGCTCACTGTGTAGCCCAGGCTGGCCTTGAGCTCACAGCAATCTTCTTGCCTCAGCCTCCTGAGTGGTGGGACTACAGGTGTGTGCCACCACACCCAGTGAAGTAAATCTTAAAGGCGACGGTAACTCCAGTAGACGGGAGGACTCAGGCATCCGGGCACCTGGCTCAAAATATTTCCCTGGTCTCACATGTTCCAGCGCATGTCACGTCACACTGGAGACGGCCGTCTCTCCGGGGGCCTCCCCGCAGACTTCAGGTGCGGGTGAGAGGAGGTGGGGGCGGGGTTTGGGCCATGATCCTGAAGGCAGACAGTAGCGGAGCCCCTAGGGCTTTGATAAATTTATAAAACACATCTTTTCTTTCCGGACCTTTGTATCTCTCTGTGGTATCCAGCAACAGTGAACCCCTGTCTACCTGCTCTCAATTTCTGCAGTCAGGTGTGTGTGTGTGTGCGTGTGTGTGTGTGTGTGTGTGTGTGTCAGATGCACAGAGGGAAAGAATGCAAAATGAGCTGCCGCTTAGATGACAGGCACACTTCATGTGCTGAGACGCAGAGCCGCGCAGTCCTTGTCTATTATGCAGTCTTGGAAGACGACTCCTGAGTGTCGTCAGTGTGGAATAAACACCCTCCTGCGACTGATTCCACAGCAAACTCCCGGATGAGGCCATGCCAGCTCCCTTCCCCGCCTGGAGCCTAGTGGTAAATCAAAAATTACTGCTTAGCGGCCACCTGTGACTCAGCCACAAGAGGTGTGCCTGTGTGACCAGGAAGGCTTCGGGCAGAAAACAAAAAGAAGGAAACAATGCATGTGTTTCCAAGGGGAAAGACTTCTGTGTTTTTCTGGTCCCTCAATCCTGCCCCAGCAAAGGCAGCTTTCCAGCTCCGGAGCCTACGCCTGGTAACTCAGGGTCTTGTCTTTGCCGACATCGTCTCCCAGTTGTTCCCCGCCGCACCCCTCACCTTCTAACCCCTTTCTATATTAATCTCCTTACCCTCCTGGCCTTGCTCACGTGACAACTCAAGCTTCCATCACCATGGTTGCTCAGGGCAACACCCAGTGGAGGTGGAGCAAGCAGGTACTCTCTAGTGTGATCTGAAAGCATCACGTTCTTTCCAGAAATCTTTCCTTAAAGTAATTAAAGTACCTGGAGGGAGGAAGAGGGAGAGAGGAAAATGGCAGCATGCAGCAGCGAACTGGAGAGAAACCTTCCAGCGGGTGTTGCTAGGCTAGGAAGGGAAGCCACAGCACCTTGGAAGGGTGCGATGGAAGAAAGCATCTTCTAGCAGCGGGCCGGGTGAGGAACAGAGAAGAGCTAACAGGGATGAGAGGAAGATGGGGAGAAAGGTGGCGCCATCTAGACAGGTTGTGTGAGGAGTACTGAACGTACTTCGCATGGAAGAGGGAGGACAATGAATCCTGAGTTTTGAAAATCAGGTCATCCTGTATTTAAATTGTGACTCAGCTTTGCCTCGTAAGGTACCCTGGGACTCCTGCACAGGAGACATATTTCCCTCCTGACTGCAGGTGGCTGTGAGGATCATGAAAGATGATGTGTGCAAAGCCCACATCTTAGCAGGCACACGCACGCACGCACGCACACATGCACACACACATACACACCATTATGGGTTAAGGCTGACCTCCTCTCCAGCCACAGCAAAGGCCAGAGTAATCACAGCCTGCGTTTGCGTGGTCTTTCTGCCTTTCAGAACACTTTTCTATAGGATCACCGTGAGTGCCCCAGTTGGGAGGACCTTAAGAGGCAGAAAGTCTCATTTTCGTTTTTCTTCCGGTACCAGGAATTGAACTCATGACCTTGCGCTTGCCAGGTAGATGCTCTGCCGCTGAGCTAAATCCCCAGCCCCGAGGCAGAAAGTCTGTAGTAATGTCCTTACTTACTGAGGTGCTGTAAAGCATCGAGGGCCATGCTATGACCTCCACCAAGACAGCGGTGAGCTGGCTCAGAACCTTTGAGTATTGACAGCCCTGAACCTGGGCTGGTAATAAGGGGCTTTGCTGGTAACCCAGGCCCCATCTTTGACCCTGGAATGTTCAGTGCAGCTAATTAGTTGAGCAGAGAACAACCAATACACATTTGAAAGACACTGACTGTGTCACATTAATTAGAAACTTGTCAGGGTGTGCGGTGTCTGCTTCGCGTCGCGAAAGGCATAGTCTGAAGCCGTTGAGGAAATAAGCATTTGACTTCGCTATTTTCCTGCTGCGCCAAGCCAGCCAGAAGGAATTTTGTCGGTCTGTTGAAAACTTCGGGGCCCAGCCTGTCTGATGCAGTCACAGTAAGCTGAAGCTCTCTGTTGAAGGTGCGTGCAGATTAACTTAAGTCTATGTTGGCGTGAACTGAGCTTTGAGAAATGAATGTAAACAAGAGCACCAGGTACTTGTGAGGCAGGGACAGAAAAACAAAAGGGTCCCAGTAAGGGAGGAACATCGTCAGTTACTGTCATCTTCAACTACAACTAGCACCACTGTTTACTGAATAATTACTATGCCTGGCACCATGCTGGTCTCTTTGAATCATTACGGCCACTCGATAAGAAGCCATCTTTATGACTCCACCAGAGGAATCCGAGATGTTTTAGCAAAGTCGAGTAACTAGCTGTAGGTCTATCACAGCACACCACAGAGGCTTCATCAGCATCCTGGGATTTCTATCTTCATATTATTCGCTTTTTATACCTGTATTATGTATCTGCCACCACACTGATCTGATAAAGCATCTGGATCGCCATCTTTTTTTTTTTTTTTTTTGCCTATTTCCGGTATCGGGAATGGAACTCGCAACCTTGCACTTGCCAGGCATGTGCTGTGCCGCTGAGCTAAATCCCCAGCCCTGGATCACCATCTTGATTGACAAGAAGCAGGAAACATTTTATGGCATGGGAGTTGGGCTGTATCCACACAAAAGGCCAGGCCAGTTCTCACGACCACGTCCTCCTCTCTAAGTCCCCCCACTGACTGTACCAGCAAGAAAAGTTCCCAAGATTGCTTGCTATTTGGATTACTTTGTTCAGGGTCCTCAAAGTAGTTGACTGAGCTTTGGGATGGGGTCATGGTAAGAAAGAAGGTCATAGCTGCAACCGTGGAGCACTAACCATGCACCAGGCATTGTGCTAAGCAGGGTGTGTGTCTCACGTGATCCTCATAGGAACCCCCTGAGGAGCACAGGATCACACCCATTTGTCTATGGAGCACCTGAAGCTCAGAGAGTTTGAGCTGCCTGCTTAAATTCTCATTGGAAATACTGTATCTGTGAGTCAAACCCTAGTCAGTTGGAAACTGAGCTCAGCCTCTCAGCCTGGATGCTCTGTAATCACCATTCCAGGCAAGAAATAAGTATGGTGGAATTGATTTGAAGATTAATTACCATCACCATCTCCTCTCCCCACTGTGAGTCTATGGGTTCCCCATCACCAGAATGGCTCAGTTAGAGTCTGTCTGAGAAACACACTTGGGAGAGGTTGGACAAAGCCATCCCCGAAGCCCCCGTATCTATGAGTCTAAGACTCTGGCTGCTTTTAGGGTAGGGGCAGATGCAAATGGTCTGGAAAGCCACAGTGGCAACTCTCAGGGAATCTTCAATAGTGCCCTAAGAAGTGCTTCTATAGCAAAACTGCTCCTGTCTCCCTATTGTGTTTTTGAAACCAACTGGAAAAGAGCTAGGAGCCAGGAGGTCTTCCCCAACCACCCCTCCCACCCGCCCCCGCTGCAGTCACTGCTAGGCATTCTTCCCTCACCTTTCTGGAAGGAAGCCTCTCCCTTCCACTTACCTCGCCCAGCCTTAGTTCACCTCAAAGTTCTCATCCTCTAACTAGACATTGAGATAATAAAATTGAAAACACCGAAATTCAATCAAGGTGAAGGCTTCATTCACCCCAGCAGGTCCCCGAGGTATTTAGTAAGTTGCGTGGAGATGTAAAAATAGATGAGCAGATGAGGAGGCAGCTGATGAGAATGACATTTGCTTATGCACAAGGAGGACAAAGACGGAGGACCTCTGCGGTGGCCATGGTAGGTGAAGTAAGGTCTGCTAGATGCGGAGGAGAACAGGGAGATCTGGGACAAGAACAGTGAGACTGGGATAGGACAGAGGAGTGGGAGGTGCTGGGAGTGGGGAGGGAACTGTGGGCTGGAAGCCACAGCAGAGTTCCAGGGCAGCTCCTATCCCAGGGTAGCCGTGGAAATAATTACAGCTCACAGAAAAATCAATCAGCAAGCTTTTACTGAGCACCGGGAGCACAACAGCAATGTGAAAAAAAAAAAACAAACCCAAAAAACCCAGGCCCCTTTGCAAACAGAGAGCAGTGTACTGCGGAGATAAAAATAGTACACTTGAAACAATTAGAGAACAATTAGTGCAAAACTGTCTGCTTCTGGTTGGAGTATGGGAGGACTCCAGAGAGAGAAATCTGGGGAGCCAGGGTTGCGGCAAGGCCAGGCAGTGGTGGGAAAGCTCCCTGGGGCCCGTGGGGTCTTGGGCATCTAAAGCTCCCAGGGAAGCGGCTGTCACAGTGGGGCTCAGCACAACCTGGAAGTTTCCCCCTCGAGAAGTTTCCAATTAAAAAGTAGAATGCAGTGCTTGACCTATGACATCTTTGCTAAATAAATGAATGGCTGGAATCTCAGGATTCTTAGAGGCAACGAAAGGGGCAGAAGGGCAGAAAAACACGGTTACAGAAATAGTGCTTGATCTACTGTGTACCTTTATGAGGCAGGGACTATGTCTTCATTGCATTTTTTTTTTTCTGGTTCTGGGGATTGAATCCAGGACATTCACACAGCTACATTCCCTGACCTTTTGTCTTTGCTTTTTATTTTGGGACAGGGTCTCACTAAGTTGTCCAGTCTGGGCTCAAACTTGCAGTCCTCCTGCCTCAGTCTCCTAGAGCATAGGGATTCGAAGAGTGTGCCACTGTGCCCAGCCATTGCATATTTACTAAGTCCCAATCATATGAAAATACTGTGCTGCTGTTTGGAATGATGTTTAGATGTCTCCCCAACGCCTCACGCATTCATAGGTGGGGATTTTCAGAGGTGGCTGGATCTGGAGTGTGTGATGCTAGGATCAAGGGTGCGTGGTGACTAAATCAGTCCGCTGATTGGTTTGGCATAGTTCTGGGTAGGATTAAGGGTGCCCCACCCTGGGTGTGAGTGTTAGCAGGTACAAAAGACAGAAAGTGGGTTACTGCTTGTTGCTTGCCACTTGCTGTTGTTTCTTGTAGCTTGCTGCCTTCTGCCAGCTATGGACTGTTTCTCCTCTGCAATGCCCCTCTTTCAGGCCACCGTGCCTTGCAGCCAGCCAGCTATGAGCCGAAACCTACAAACTGAGCTAAATAAACC